AAAAGCACTGTGGTGCCGAGTAAAAACACGAAATGCAAACCAAATGGGGAAAGCATGATAAACGCAGATTTGATAGGATGAAATGTGCGGAAAACGCTGGAGACCTCGTAGATATTTAGTGATTTTCATTGGAGATCCTCAGAAAGACCGTCAATTTATTCAACACGCATTTCACAAACGAACAGCAAGACTCAATTACACAAGAATCGCTCTCTGAATGAATAAATGCCTGCCAACCAACCTTCGCGGCACATTTTCGGTTGCTGGACTCGAGGCTTTTGGAGCCTTTGGCTTATCAGTTTTATTCACAGTTTTATCAGCGACTTTCGGTGATTTTACCACATTTCGCTCGGTTTTTCTCGGTGATGAGCCAGTGCTACCCTCTGCTGATGGGTTACCATCGGTAGTGGCATTGGTAGCAATGTGCTGCGCTCTGGATGAACGACGAGCAGTTGAACCCGTAGAGGGTCGTAGGTTATCCGGATTGGTGGATAGCTGCTTAGGACGTTCCATTGCTGGGGATGCTATCTAATTCACAGCGATACAGCTATCAATATGAGAATTGCCGATGAAACGATAAACGTTGCTCAATAATGATAACTGTAGGATGATAACTTTGGACTTAAATGAGACGATGATAAGGGCGAATAAGTGATGGGGAAGAACTTTTCGGTCTTAGAGTTTTTGGCACAGGATGCTCGACCGAAAAACGACAAAGCAACTTCGAATAAATTCTGTGAAGACCGGACGGATAGTATTATATATCACAAATATACCCAGATCTGGTGTGAATTCATCAAATCACTTTGCTGCCTGTGAACAACTATTCAGGTTGTTTAGTCTGCCGTCAGTCAAATGATTATTGTTTCTGAACGAGTGCAGATTAAAGCAGAACAATAAATCACCACAGCAAACAAATCAGTTGATGCGCATTATATCAAAAAATGGCAATATCAAAAACTGATGTCAATCAATACTGTGGACACAATTACTATATTAT